AACACAATGCTCTCCTCTTTTATATTAACAATGTTGTTCTTCATTTGCTCTGAGGAATGTCTGTCTGTCCTGCTCTGTGTCTCACCTGGTGCTGATGATGGGCTCCAGCTGCTGGACTGGTCCTGCTTTGGATGCCTGTCCTCAGAACCGTCCCCCTGAACCTGTCTAGTTCACTGGTCTGACCCTCACATGGCTTCTTCTTAACTCTATTCAGGACTTTTGGGGTCTTTTGGACCCCAGGCCATTTGGTTTAGGTGACAGGTATTGTTCTTTGATTTTTAAAGATTTTATTTTTAAATATAAAAAGAGGGACAAAAATATGTCAACTTATCAGAAAATGTATTTAACATCGTATAAAAGTCTGTAATGAATACCAACAATTATTTTGCACATATTCTGTCTTGGGGTCCAATGGACCCCCTAAGACCTTCTATGAATGGCAACATGAAAGTCCTGAATAGGGTTCAGATAACTAACCATGCTGGCTGCGCCTCTTTCTGACATTTCTGAGCCCTGCTGCTGGAACAGAGACTAAATGACATCATTCAGTTGGAACTCAAACTTGGGGTTGGGTCGCACACTCAATCATTTCTGTTCCAACTGTTCCAATTTCTGACTAATCAGGACCCACCCTGATGTCCTGCCTCCCCCCATGAATCAAAGTTTTGGCAAACCAATGGCAGAGCCGGATTTGTTCCAATTTAGTCATGTGACCCTCCATGAGGCTTCGCGCTGTTGTACAAATTCACCGAAGACGGCGTAAGTACCGCAGTGGTTTCTTTCACTCATTTTAATGAAATTATTGTGCAAACGTGTTTAAACAGTTCAGTTTTTGATTGAGTTCAGTGGTACTGAGGTAACTATGTTTATTTTTTAACTGGGCATCGTAAAATAATGGCGAAAATACGTTAGCTGCCTTCTCTGAGACAGAAGGCGTGAGAACGCTGGTTTGATCCCCGATGACGGCACCGGGAAATAGCGGGCTAATAATACGAATACGCGGTTACAACGGCTTATTACACACGTAAAGTTTTATTACAAGCAAAGTAAAGAAAAAAAACAACAACAAAAAAAACCCCACTTGGCTAGTAACTACAGAGTATTTAATACTGTGTACACTACTGCTATGTACAGATCATACATGTACACGGTACTAGACTGTAACACAGTGTAAATAAAGACTGCATGTATCTGTTAAAGTACTTTCAGAGTATATTTGCCTATCAGGATTAATGTAGTAGTAGTAGTAGTGGTAGTATACATGTATAGAGTACATGTATCCTATTACACACAGATCACATACTACTACTCTGGATGTATTTTAACAGATACATGCAGAGTATATTTACCTGTTAGGTTAGGCGTCTGCAGTGTTGCGGTCGCTGTACCGGACCATTGTGGTGAAGATAGAGCTGAGCAAGGGAGCAAAGCTCTCGCTTTGCCGGTCAATCTATGTTCCTACTCTCACCTATGGTCATGAGATCTGGGTAATGACCGAAAGAACGAGATCACGGATACAAGCGGCTGAAATGAGTTTCCTCCACAGGGTGGCTGGGCACTCCCTTAGAGATAGGGGGAGGAGCTCAGTCACGCGGGAGGAGCTCGGAGTAGAGCCGCTGCTCCTCCACATCGAAAGGAGCCAGGTGAGGTGGCTCGGGCATCTTTTCCGGATGCCTCCTGGACGCCTCCCTGGGGAGGTGTTCCGGGCGCGTCCCACCGGGAGGAGACCTCGGGGAAGACCCAGGACACGCTGGAGAGACTATGTCTCCCAACTGGCCTGGGAACGCCTGGGGGTCTCCCCGGAAGAGCTGGCGGAGGTGTGTGCGGATCGGGAAGTCTGGGCGGCTTTGCTAAGGCTGCTGCCTCCGCGACCCGACTCCGGATAACCAGAAGAAGATGGATAGATGGATGGATGGATGGTTAGGATTAACGTAGTAGTAGTATACATGTAGTCTGTGTGTAATAGCATACGTGTGTGCTGATGTATGTAACTCTGCTAAGAGACTGTTTTCCTTCAGGAGGCTGTGCAGCATCAGAACCAGAACCAGGACCTATGAAGTTGTTGTTACTATTATTACTATTATTATTGTTGTTGTTGTTGTTGTTGTTGTTATTATTATTATTATTATTGTTATTATTGTTGTTATTTGTAGGAGTAGTTGTGGTATTCTGTCAGGAATTAAACTTTGACATTTTGTTTTATACTTTATTTGTAATTCATTATTAAATAGATGAATTCATGCGTAGTATTGTTCTATTTTGGGCTCTATTCTTGATTCATGACTGCCATAACCTGAACAAAAACCAGAGAACCTGGTTCTGTTGTCAGTCCTGTAGAACATGTGATGGTTCTGTGTTTCAGCTGATGGATCCATCTGATGATCTTCATGTTGTGTTTTACTGAGATGCTCTCACATGTGCAGTTCACACGTCATCAGATAAACCAACAGAAACAACAGATGTGCAAAGAAAGCTTCTTATTTATTCATGTATACACAAAAGGTCAACTGCAGTGTGACAGAATAAACCATGTCATGTATGAAATAAATCAAAACCTCTTCTTTCAGCCCCCTCGTCCTGCTCTTGTGTCCTCCTCATGGTGTCTCTCCTCCAGTCGGTCAGATCAGCCTCAGGCTCCCCAGCTCTGTTTGTGAGTCTGTCCACCAGGCGTTCAGAGAGCCCCTGAAGGCTCCGGACCTCCACCAGGGCCCGGGCCAGCTTCAGGACCTGTTGGTATCCTGGCTGACCATCAGGACCCTGAACTTCCTCCTGAAGAACCACAGAAGAAGAAAGGAGAGGATGGAGAATCAGAGCCGACTGAAGCAGAAAGTGTAAAACGCTGTCAAAGGCTGTGTGTCTGTGGAGCTCTGTCTTCTGACAAATGAAGACTTGTGATTTCTCTGCTGTGGCGTTATTAGTTGTCTAGTAGTGGTCTGTGGTTGGTTGCTGAAGTTGCCTCAGAGTCAGAGGAAATGAGGGCAGAGTCGGTTCTTCAGGGGCCTCAGGAGGGGCGTGCTGGTCCGGGGCGGCAGGACTGGATGGCTCAGAGCTGGATCACCTGACCAGCCTGCTGCCGCTGTGCTGCCGGAGGGGCTCTGGCACAAAGACCGTGGGGTCCAGGCATCATCCACGAACCCCTCCTCCACCTGTCCTGGTGCCTTGGCCCTGTAGCCAGCCCGCCGGGCCCAGAACCTGAGCCTCAGTGGAGGCCTTCAGGAGGAGAGTGCCGTTCTGGGCCCTTCTGAAGCTGGCATGGTCCATCTGAACAGAGACAATGAAGATGAGCAGAGAACTGCAGCAACACTGGAGAACCATGAAAAACAGAAAATATCTTCATTAGATGATCAGTGAATCGAAGTGACTTTGCTATCAGAGCAGGTTTGGTTGGCTTTCACTATAAATAACGTAAAAAAGCTGAGGCCTTCTTTTAAATCACAGATTTCATCAAATTATCACTGATACACCGACACCTTTATAAAGCTCAACTCAAACATGTCTCTCTCAAAATATATCTATATGTATATGCATGCATGTATATATACATATATTTATGCATGTATGTATGTAACAGGTGTGTTTAAATGTTTGTCTATTTCACCAAATATCCATCCTTTTGATCTTGTGTACATTTTGTTTTTATTTTGTTTGTGTGTGTACGCAATTCAGTGTATTTTTGTAATTTATTTTGAAAAGACTTTTATTTTCTTAAATGACCTTTTTTGACCCTCACGGATGTCACTGCCGGTTGTGCAGCTCAACTGGGCGACACGGACGAGAGACTGACGTTTTTTGCAAGACGTTAGCACGCTAGCTGCTGTTTTATGTTGTGTTTTTATGAATACAGCTGCAGACTGGACATTTTAATTTTTTTCTTAAGGAGGTCGGCTCGGCACCGCTGAGGACATTGTTGATGTGGCAATAAACTTCGTGACTACCGGTTCGTCCGAACTTGTTTCCTTTTTTTCCCCACACACAACGCGGAGGTTACCGGTAGCAGAGCAGCGCAGGGACAGGCGGGTTACATTGCTTCTGCACTCCACAGCGTAGGGACAGGCGGGCTACACTGGTGCCGTGACCCGGATCCACTTCGCTCCGGACTGGTCTGTCTTCATCGTGGTTCCTGGAGCTGTGGATCAACATCAGCTTGGTCACTGGAGGTTGCTTTGTGTCACATGTTAACATTTAAATGCTTATTATTATGGTTTAAAATTTAAGAAAAAAAGGTTATTCTTTTACTGCTAAACATTTCATGTTCCTGAAGTGAGTTTAATGCCACAGTATTTTTCTCTGTGTGTATATTGAGGTTTTTCAAGGAGTTAAAAGTGACATTTGTGTATTTTTCTGGAAAAATGGATGACAAAGCTTCACTGAATAATTTTAGCCTTGGTTTTGGGAGGGGTAGGCTGCCTACCACACCAGCTAGAGATGCAAATGCAGTAGGCTCTCCAGCTTTCTGTTCTACCCACATACTCAACCGTACAGCTGCTAGTCTCCAGCACAGTAGCACAATTCCTGGCAACTCAGCTGCAACTGACGCAGCTTTAAATGACCTGATAGTACACATTGCACAGCAGGTGGGACAGACTATAAGTGATCAGTTAAGGGAAAAATGTAATGAGAGTGGTGTTAATGGCGCACAAGCTCAGAGCAGTGTCGGCCAGTTACCTAGTGACTCTAGTTACCTTAACCTGACCGGTGCCAAGTTAGTCCTGCAGTCGGATGTGAAAGAGCCTCCAATCTTCAGAGGAGATGTGTCAGACAAGTTCACGGTGTGTGAGTGGGAGGAGTTGATGAAAACCTACCTGAGGAAACGAGCCACACCCGTAGCGGAGCAACATTCTGAGATAATGTCAAAGTTAATGGGAAACGCCAAAGACATCGTAAGAATCACTCTGAGAAGCAGCCTTTCACTGAAGCCACAAGAGAACCCAGAAGTAATCTACAACATT